TGTTGGTGACAGGCTCTGACGAAGTATGGTTTCATTGCCTAGACGACCAATAGTTTTTTGAAGAGTGGCTTAATGTGCTTCTGAGAAAGCTGTGCGGACTTGAACGGTATTTGACGACGAGCTGTAAGAGCCTTGCAGTATCTTGCAGTTGCGGCGAAGCAGCTGTACTGTACTATGGCCAGATGTGTGCTACGAATCAGACCTGTCAGAACTCGTGTTTTTCCAGGGCATGTGCTTCCGCGAGCAGAAACAGCTACGGAGTGCAGCATGAGGCAACCAAGCGTTCCAGAACGTATCTCTGCTGAGCTATTCGGTGCCCCCCCTTTGAACCGTCCGGTAGCTACGAGGGTCGAGACCCCTACGTAGTCGCAGGTGCCAAGATGAGCTTTAGTCCTGATGGGCCTGCTCCTGGCCGTGGGCTCATGCTGAGATGTGCAAGTATCCTCCTGCTGGAAGCTATGGGATGCGCACGTTCGCCACATGACATGCAAGACAATGGCAGAGCCAATTCCTGAGCAACAGCGTCCGCCCAAGGTGCCAAAATGAGCTTCAGCCCTGATGGTCCGGCTGCGGGCCGTTGGCTGAGTTTCGCCGGGGATTGCAGGCCGTGCGTGCAACAGCGCAGCTTTCCGCTAGAACAGGCGGCCCATCGGCTCCCTCCAGTGGAGCAGGCTTACCCCGCTGGGATGTGTGTCTTTGTTTGCATCGCCATGGCTTGTAACATCTTGCGTCAACGTGAGCCGCAGCTGCGACATGCCCCCCTCCGACAGATTCCGACAGAGGGCATGTATGAAAGGGTGGTTGTTGGTGACAGGCTCTGACGAAGTAGGTTTCATTGCCTAGACGACCAATAGTTTTTTGAAGAGTGGCTTAATGTGCTTCTGAAAAAGCTGTGCGGACTTGAACGGTATTTGACGACGAGCTGTAAGAGCCTTGCAGTATCTTGCAGTTGTGGCGAAGCAGCTGTACTGTACTATGGCCAGAAATGTGCTGCGAATCAGAACTGTCAGAACTTGTGTTTTTCCAGGGCATGTGCTTCCGCGAGCAGAAACAGCTACGGAGTGCAGCATGAGGCAACCAAGCGTTCCAGAACGTATCTCTGCTGAGCTAATCGGTGCCCCCCCTTTGAACCGTCCGGTAGCTACGAGGGTCGAGACCCCTACGTAGTCGCAGGTGCCAAGATGAGCTTTAGTCCTGATGGGCCTGCTCCTGGCCGTGGGCTCATGCTGAGATGTGCAAATATCCTCCTGCTGGAAGCTATGGGATGCGCACGTTCGCCACATGACATGCAAGACAATGGCAGAGCCAATTCCTGAGCAACAGCGTCCGCCCAAGGTGCCAAAATGAGCTTCAGCCCTGATGGTCCGGCTGCGGGCCGTTGGCTGAGTTTCGCCGGGGATTGCAGGCCGTGCGTGCAACAGCGCAGCTTTCCGCTAGTACAGGCGGCCCATCGGCTCCCTCCGGTGGAGCAGGTCCGGGTTCACCCCTTTGCGACTTGTTTCCTCCGCCTGATCATGCATGTCCTCAGCATTTGTTTTCAACCTGTTTATGCTTGGCTTGAGATGTGCGCTCATGGATTTCAGGTTGTCGAGAGACCGGTCAGATCTCTTGCCCCAGCTAGACAGCGAAGCCTGATTGCAGTTTCAAAGCTGGTGGCATTGATGCAGGTGCCAAGACGAGCTTCGGCCCAGATGCTGGTCGTGGGCTTGGGACACGAGCAAAATCTGGGAGCAAGGCATGAGTCAAGTCGGTGGCCCCAACAAGTCCCAGCGGCCCGCAGCGGAGTTCGCATGGGACAGAGAATTTTTGTGGGCGGCCCCATGAAAGCTTGCAAGCTGCTTGAAGAAGCTTTTCGAACATAAACGACTGCGTGTTGCAATGAACCAACAACAAGAACACTGTTTGCTGTGCTTCACGTTGCAGTATGGATTTCTCTGGAGTTTCAGGTGGTCCTACAAGCTTCAGCCCTGATAAGCCAAGCATAGGTGGGCTCGGGGGTGTTCATGGTGTTGGTGGGTTGCAAATCGCCCTCGCAAAGGTGGAAAGATGAGCTTCGGCCCAGATGGAGGCTCCGCAGCAGGCACATCGCAGTGCCTTGCAGTCCTCGCAACCTCCGTTGCCTTGAAAGTCATTCAATGCTCCAGGTGGGCCCATGACCTTCAGCCCATCAGCATCGTCTGCCGGGACAGGCATTTACGCGGTGGTGGAACGCTTCACCGGAAGATCGTGCAGCTGCATCTTTTTACAGGTGGCGGGACGAGCATCGATGGTCGTGGTCCTGCCTTTGCCGGCCCTCTGGGGACGCTTGGCATTCGCCTGTGTTTGCGAAGGGGCAACTGTTTCCAAGATCAAGAATCCAAGGATCGGGGTCATGGGTATGGGTATGGGCGTCTTGGCTGCAGCTGACGCGAAGCCGCCAGGAAGCCGCCGTGAGGTCCCCTAAACGACTCGCTCTCGCTAGGTTTCGATGGCCTTGCGGGGATGGGCAGCCTTGGCAGCGAGATGATGTTCCGGGCCGCCTTGCAAGGGGGCATGTCGCTCGGCCTCAGATCAAGTAAAAGGCAAAAATGTCCCCGAGTAACTTCATATCTGATCATGCATGTGCAGGAGGCTATCTTCTGTTGCTTGTTAGTCGCAGGATCGCCGGCTCCACGTCTCAGCTGCACCTGCTGCTACCAACTTCGCTGCTGCAGGACTTCTGTGCGAAAGCACTGCGAAGGGTTGTTGTCCGTGATTTCTAAGGGATGGATTGCTGGATGGATGGCAGGTAAAAGGCGCTGCGGGTAAAGTGGATGGCATGTTCGGTCCTGCGAAATGGAGCTGCGCACACAGTGTGCCGTGACGATTGCTCTTCGGACTTGACAACCTCTTGATTGATGCCGGCATGTCTGCTCTCCGGAAAGAGCCGTTCATCGTAATTTCGTGTAAATTCCAATAAAATTACATTCGCCTTATGTTGGCCTCGAAAGGGCGACTGTCTGGGTGCTGCTGGTGTGTCGCATCCTTCGATAAAACGATTCATTGTGCATTCCAATACATCGGCCACATGCTTGGCTTCGAAATGAAAACAACCCTTGCGGTGGATTGAGCCCGTTCGGATGTGTTCGGACAGTGTGTACATGGGAGGAAGCATTTTGGCCGAGGGTTTGTAGAAGGGTTTATGGAAGGGGTTATAGAGGGATTGCAGAAAGGGAATATATGCAGAAGTTTGTCGAAGGTTTCTAGAATCTTGGAAGATTCGTGGAAGGGTTTGTGCAAGGAAGACCTACGTACGATCATGTTGCATAAAGGTTGTGTGGATGGATGAGATGATCTTAGGTGTCGCGGTGCCGGCAACCTCACTGCTCCAAGCGCTTTCTCCAGCTGTGTTTGGAGCAGTTCCTTTTTCGGGCTTTCACTTTGCAGATTCTCCCGCCTCGAAGGAGTCGCTGATTCCCAAAGGCCAGCTGACAGAGATTGCACAGAGATGCCAGTACCCCGCTGCAAGAATTTCCTTCTTTTAGAGCACCGTGTCCATGCTCCGACCAACTCAGGGTCCGCATCGAGTTGGGCCAGGAGGTGCCCCCCGACTTGAGACAGGTGGGATTCCCAGAGCGGTGCGCGAATCAATCGACTGCAGTATGCTGTTCGGTTGTGGCACACGTGGCTTCCGTCAGTGGGTATCTGTCAAATTAGAGCTGCAGAGTCGGCTGCATGTCGGCTGTGGGTCCCCAGGTGACTTTGCGTGGGGGGCTTGCCGCCAACTCCGTGGCAGCCTACTTCCTGCAGGAGCACGGAGCAGCCAGACTGACCGGTCCATTACGCAGACTTGCTTCTGGTTCGTCGCCGCTTCCCCCAGAAGCATCATCTGGCAATGTTGTTCCTACGCTGTGCCCTCGGAGGAGAGAGCGTTGCAGCTGCATCAGCCAAGCGGCTGAGGTTGCATGCTGACCCCGCAGCACAGCTGGGTAAACATGCGTGCCAAATAGCCCACCGAATAGGTGCATTTTGGAGCATGAACTTCAAGTCAGTGAAGTTCGTCTGTCGCCAGTAGGGCTTGCAGTGAAGCGATGCCGATCTGTATGATGTGTTTGACTTTTGTTGTAGCTCTTCTGGTGTAGTAAACAGGCCAATGGCACTGCATCGAAGCAACATCCACCCATATCCAGCTCACAACAGCAGCAGCCAAACTTACCCCCAGGAAGCTAGTCTATCCTGTCGGTCCCTGAACCCTTGCCTTGCTATGGCGGGCAGCATGTCTGGGCTGGATTGGTATGCATGGGCCTCGTACTGCGTTGTCCACACCCTTTCAGAACCTCCTTTCCAGCTTTGTGCTCTGAGGATCCGCGTGCCGTGGCGAAGCCACCGCCGCCAGCAACACCACCAGCCACGCCGCCGGGGCACACAGCTCAAGTGGCTGAAAGAGGGCTCAAAGTCTCACCGTCTTGCACCCTTGGCTGCCTCGGCTCAGAGCTGGAAAACTGAGAGGGCATAAGACTGTGGGTCACGTGAGGGAGTCATCGGGCAGCCGCTAGCCGCTAGCCGCCAGCCGCCATGGCGTTGAGTCTTCATCCCTCCGATTCCGGGCGATTGAGGCTGCCAGGGGGCTCGTGAAGGCTCTGCGTTTTCCGGACAGATCCACTTGAATGCGAAGGGCCGGTGCATTTCCGACTCCCCCGACTCCCGCGCCTCGCTTCCACCAGAGAGGACTAAAACCAGGGCAGCGAGGGCCAGGGCTGGAACCGGAGGTTTTCGGAATTTTGGCCTTATTTTTTTTATTTTTGGCCTTTTTTTTGGTTGGTGGTCTGCTTGGAGGAGGGTGTATGTGTATGTGTATGTGTATATGTAGACATGTATACAAGTATGTATATAAATATATATTATGTATACATATATGTGTAAATTTGTATGTATATATACATATATATAAGTAAGTCTATGTGTCTATATAATTATATGTATATATGTGTATATTTGTATACATATGTATATGCAAAAATACACATATATGTATATAGGCGTATATGGAAATTTATGTATATATATATATATGTACGT